ATTAGCAAATGAGAGAAATTCAATGATTTGATGGTGGTGTAGGTTATCCTGAAAAATGTTTTAAGAAAAAATGTTTATATAAAAAAAAATTTTTTTTTCTGAGAAACTCAGACACTCGGAAGTAGCTCTAGTGATTACACTTGCCAAAAACAACCATCCATACAATTAACACTGAATATTTGCATGAATCGAAAAATGTGTACTGTTTTACGGAAAATAAAGTGCGTTACAGAAGAAAGGAGGTGCTGGTATAAGCAAGGACTGGGAAGTTGGCGGCTGAACCCTTTGTCTTGCTCACTTGCCCTTCGATTCCATATGATATGCAAATGTCCCGTCTTTTGGCTTGAGTTCCTCCCTTCGTGATGTGTATGTTGTGATTAGAAATGCCAGATTATTGTGCGGCGCAGCTTGGAGCTGCTGTTGCCCCTCTCTCCTCTCCCTTATATATTGGGCGTGCCGTGTGTTAGCAGCTTGGAGTTGCCGTCGAATCTTCCGCACTTTATGTTTGTGTTTTTAAATGAAGCATTGTTTGTTGGTTTGGGTGAGTGCTCTCCGCATCCCCACAGGAAAACCCCTCCAGACGCACAGGCCTCCATCCGTCCTTCGCGTGTTACAGGTAGATTACTTAAATGTATTGCAGTATGGAACGGGTATCATCGCACAGCACGGCGGCCGATACCTTGAATTACATACGACGAATTGTGGTCACAGGCAAATACAACACTGCTGCGTGAGTTTCTTGTGAAATTTCCAGTAGTCTGTTGTTGTTTTGCATATTTGAATGAATCCTTTTGGCACACGAGGAATGCTGCTGTCAAAGCATTTGAAGGTAAGGTAGAAAATAAGGAGCAGGAAAAAGGAGAGAAGCAGAATGAAGTGAAATAAATGGCAACGCGCACCAGACTAGCCGGTACTGTCATGCGTTTTGTGCAATTCAGCCTATCGAACGATTGCCTATTAATGATCTTCACTGCTTTGTACTTTAGTCTATGCAAGAATAGTTCAAACACTGGAAAACAGTTGAAAGTTTCACGCACCAGCGTATGAAAGCTGAATTAGAAACCTTGAAGGATGAATATCTTTCCGTGATTCCTTTAAAAATTTCACGCACCTGCGTATGAAAGCTGAATTCGAAATCTTGAAGGATGAATATCTTTCCGTGATTCCCGAGTTAATAGTTTATCGGCCAAAATTTTCACGAGGCCGTAGGTGGTACCCGAGAGTGCGAGAAAGCTGAATGTGAATGAGCAAGGTTAAGCGTAGGCAGGGGGTCATTGCCGTAAAATTTCAGCCTCCTAGACTCCGTGGTTCCCGAAATATTAATTTAGCCGTAAAAAATTTTCACGGGGCCGTACGCGTTACCTGCAGGTACGGGGAAGCTAAATTTAAATTTGTGGGGTCACACGTGAGTGGAGAACGTTCCCCTAAATTTTCAGCTTTCTAGCTTTTGTGGTTCCCTAGCTGAAAGTTGCGGACAAGTTGCTGCGGGCACACACACATACACACACAGACAACCCCGTGACAATATACGTTTTGTACTGCTGTTACACATCACAAAACGCATAAAAAAGGGGAAAGTATAAAATTATTTGTTATAGGTAAGAAATGTTTCGGTCCATTAAGTCATACACATTTCTTACCGTTGCCACAGTTGGACTTCGTTAGTACAATGATTATGGTGACAAAGATATTGGATACTCGAACAGCACCCATCACTGTGTTTTTTCTTACCATCTGTAGAACTCGCAAAATTCCCATTCTCTACTTGGTTTCTGTACCCCTCACATTCGCATAACTTCATATTAAAGGGCAGAAGTATGGCTGGATAAGCATGCTTGAATTGGCAGGTTTTTGCAGTGCAATTATCTAGCAGTCAAAATTGCCCATGTATTATCCCGCAACATCCTCACTGCTTGACTGGCTTAGCATTTTCTGACCCAAATTGCCTCAGTAACCTTTAAATGTGCAGAAATGGGACCACATCACTGGGAGATGTGCTGCAACGTGCTGATATTTGCTGAATGTGCTGCATAACTCTTTGGATTGTTTGTTGATTTTTTTATGAAATTTTGGGAAAATGAGGAAAATTTTGAGGAATATACCACTGGGTTTCTAAGGAAACCAGGTAGATGGTCTTTGTTCTATTTGGAATAGGCGACGTCTGGTTTTTTATGCGTTTTTTGCAGCTATGCAATGCAGAAAACGCATATTGACGAAGGGTTGTCTGTGTGTGTGCCTGTTTTTTCGTCCGTGCCGGTTTTTCATCTCGAGAACTGCAAAAGCTACGGGGCTGAAATTTCGGGGGCTTAATCCATATGCATGTACGACCCCCATCCTCAAAATGGGCGCTCTTACGCACTTGGTACCCACGTACGAGCCCGCCAAAGTTTTTTACGGATAAGCTGCTAACTCAGAAACCAGAAAAGTTCGGAGGCTGGGATGTTAAGGGGACGTTCCCGGTCCAAATAGATATTAATGAGCCCAAACCCAGCCGCCGGACAAGCGTGGAGCCGCGTACGAGCCCGCTAAAATTTTTTTCGGATAACTTGATAACTCGCGAACCAGAAAATTTAAAGCTGAAATTTTATGGGGTGTTTCCTCACAGTTCTGGCGGTCAGTCTTAATTTGTTTAGCTAGAAGCACTTGCCGAAAAAACCGGTGCCGGTAGCAACAAAACTGCGGGGAATCATGCAAAAAACGCATCTTCGCACGGGCAGCCCGTGCGTTGGCCAATTATTTTTGTCGTTACGGTTTTTTAGAATTATTTGACACAAAGAAATAATTGTAAAATTGAGTTCTTTGTCTGTGAGAATAGAGAAACTATTAGAATTATTGCAAAATGAGATAATTTTTCTTAAAAATGAGATAATTTTTGGGTGTAATTAAGTAAAATCTAAACACAGCATGTTGTACAATTCCCAGTTGGCAGACCTTTCCCAGCTTTTTTGAGTTGAACCGAGGACCGTATAAAGTTAAGACGAGGCTTGATTGGTACTTATCTTCACAACTTTTGCTCTTTCTGTTTGTTATTGTTGACAGATTTGAGCATTATGCTTATGATATGTGAGTATTTTTAGTGAATTGATCAAACTTCTCAAAGAGGAAAGGGAACGCCTGGTTGGACTGTTACCATATGAATTTGTTGTTTCGAATATTGTCCTGTGCGTGATCAAAGTGATACATGAAGAGAATGGCCGGGCTGATTCTGGCCTGGATGATCTTGTACCTTACGATTCGTTGAATGTTCGTTTACTATAAAATTTTTATCAATTATTCGCGTTTTTTGTCTCTTTTAGTGTTACAGATAGTTTTAACATTTTTTCATAAGAAAGAAAAAGGAAGAGTTTGTAATAGCTGACCTAGATTTTGTGTGAAGTACGAAAAGTTGAAATTTGTCAAAAGATTCATTCGAAGCAAGAAAAGTTGGAATTTATGATAAAATTTATAAAATCCACGAATTCCTTGCTGATTGGCGTGTTTCTGCTAAGCGTTATGGTTTGACCTCGTTTATTTTGCCCTTTTTTTTGCTAGGAATTTCTTCAAAAATTTCAAAGCCAATGGACATGATATAGAGCCAATGGACGTAGGACATGGCTACTTCTGTTTCTTCTGTTTTTTCTCTTTTTTATCGGTTTTTATCTTAATTTCTATACTAAACTAAACAATCTAAATTATTTTGTTACCACAATCATCTTATTGACGAGGTCCAACTGTAGTAACGATAATAAATGTACACTACTTCATAGACCGAGACATTTCTTACCTATTATAAGTATTGCCTTCGCCCCCTTTCCTCTTCTTACTTCGCTTTTTCTTCGTTTTCTTCCCTTCTTCATCTTTTCTAATTTATTATTTTCTCTTCAACCTTTAATAGTTACAGATGGCATTTTCTTCTGTTTGAGTCTGTTTCGACTTAATATTTGAGAAAA